TTGGCTTCTGCTGCACTGACATTCCCAGAATTGTTGTCAGCCCCCTCCCCCCCCCCCTCCGCTAGACTACAGAACACCTTCCCTTATGCTATGGAAGTATTCTGTAATGCAGCAGAAGAGAACTGGGCAGGGCTTGGCATTTCTGCACGGCAGAGTTGGGCTTTAAAGGTTGGGTGGTAGTTACATTACATTTCAGCTTCTATTTATGCTGCTTTATTCTTGGAATAGTTTTATGGTATAATGGGTCCTCTTAATGACATTAAATTATCAATAAAATCCAGATAATGCTTTTATCTAATCTTGTCTAGATTCTAGGAAATGCATTTTGTATAGGAATATATGTCCTTGCATTGCATATGTCCTTACATCGGTGGAATAAAGTCCTAGACAAGACTAGCATTTCCATCTATTATTATCTTACTTATATACTTTCCATGTGTGTAATGCCTGATAATGGGAAAGATGTGGAGATAATAGTGTTTATTATATTACTTATCCTCTATGATCTAAGTATGCCATATTCTTCCTCTAAAAGGTACATTTGGATTCTATTCTATCAAAGTACCAAGAAAGGTCATGTTTTTTTTTTTATAGTGACTAGTGACCTTAAGGTGGCCATGCAATGGTAGATTTTCGGTAATGCCATCAGAGACTTGACAAAGGCCGTTCGAAATTTAGTTTACTTTTCAGATTTGATTTTAGAATAAATGGAGTTTCCCAAATGAAAACCACATTAATTGTTCCAATTTTGTTCATTTGAGGAACATTTTTCCATCCTGCTCCTTCGATTTTTGTCCTCACCACAGTCCAAAACAATCATCGATTTGACCCCATTAACTATTAGAAAATCAAATGAACGTCAAAAACAAATAATTTGGAACAAAATTCTACTGGTATGTTGCCAGCTTTATACTGGAGGGGAGCTTTTGGAAGGGATATTGAAGCCGTCATGAGCTTTCCTTTCTGGAGATACCTGGAGAGGTAGATTTAGGCTCAGGAGCAAGCCTAGAACTTCAACTGTGGGATGTTGCCTTTGCTAGGCATGCTGGTTACCTGGCTGGGTCTGGCTTCACTCCAGTCAAAAACTATCATTAATTTGACCCCATTAACTATTAGAAAATCAAATGAATGTCAAAAACAATTTTTTTTGAACATAATTCTACTGATATATTGCCAGCTATGGACTGGAGTGGAGCTCTTGGAAGAGATATTGGTGGCGGCTTGAGCAGGGCTTTCTGGAGATACCTGAAGGGGTTGATTAGACTCAGAACCAAGCCTTGAATTTCAACTGCAGGAACCACTCAATGTTGACTTGCTGACCTGTGTCTGAAAATGCTGGTTTCCTTAAACCACTGACCTGGAACAAGCACACAGCCAGTGAAATCAGAGTGATGTCAGAACTTCTAAATAGAGATGACCTCCGAACCTAAGCTCCTCCAAACAAGAAAGCGCCCTGGCACTTCCACCTAATTGGCTGCAGTACAGGCATTCTCCTCCCTTGCAGCTGCATGTAAACAAAGGGGCAGGGTGCAGTAACATAATTTACCTTATATGGCTACTTAGCCATATTAGGTAAATGTAATTTACCAAATATAGGCATGCAACTATTTGAGGTCAATTATGTAATTGCATCCCGCCCCTTTGCTTACATCAGGCAGCAACGCAGATTTGTTTTTGTTTTGTTTTTTAGTTTTGCATAGGATGGAGAAGAATCAGAACTCCTGTTGGGTTTTTACTGCTATCAGGGACTCCCGTTGGAGAGGTTCCCCTTACTTCCTGTCCTGCTGACAATACTTTTTAGACAGGAAGTCAGGGAAAATCTTCAACAGGGACATATACACTTTTTTTTATTAGTAGGGAAAGCCTAGAACCCCTGTTAGCTTTACTGCTGTCTTTTTCTCTGTTGCGTATTTTCTCTCACTTCCTGTTTGGTAAAACCATTGTCAGCAGGACACAAAATAAGGGGAAATCTCAAAGGATTGATATCCAAAGCCCTGGATAGCAGTATAAAACAGGTGTTGTAACCCTTTCCCATTGGACATACACTTCATTTGGTTAGAATAAAGCTTAAAGCAGCACTCCAGCTAAAAATATGATGACTTTGAATAGCCCCTTAAATGATACAACAACAAAAATCAGCTTCTTGTAGTTTTCTCTTGCAATCCAGAGCTCTCCGCAGTAGTACTTCTTTTCCACCACAAGATATCCTCTGTCCAATGACCAGCATCACTCAACCCACATCTTCTGAGCCCAAACTATCCTGGACCTGCCCCAGCCTACGACTGGACAGTGAAAAGAGAAGCAGCACAATGATTAGCTCATCTCTCTATCACTCTGCTCTCTTCTCCTATCCTATGCTTCTTCTCAGCACATGAACTTTATTGGCTCCTTGCATTGCTCTTCATCTCATACCCCAGCCCTGCTTTACGGGGACTGCAAGAGGCTAATACTAGGTCATATTCAGGTACATTATGTTTTAATGATTACAGCGCTGCATTAATTTCTGTCTCTGATATCTGCCTAGAATTCAGCTTTAAGGTATTTTGTCATCTGCCACTTCCCTTCACTTTATAACTAAACTGTTAAAACTTACAGAAGGTTTTTTAAGGCTTTACATCAAATTATGCAAAGGTAGAGGCAAATGAAATCAAGATGCATAATGAGTCATTAAGCCCAGTTTGTGAATGAAATAATAAGTACCTGGTTTCAATTAACACTACGCGGAAACGTGTGGGCCAGGAAAATAGGTGTCTTTCAAAGAAGTCTTCATAAGGCGACTCTAAACTGTACTTACACATTGATAATAAGGCTGAGGCTTTATTCTGCAGCTGGCAGACATCTGAAGAAAGGCACTGTGCACTATTATAGAACCAGAAAGGGATGTGTCAAAGATCAGACCAAGTGTGTAGCGTGGAATCGAGGACAGATGAAATTTAAATGTGCGGAAAAGAGAGGCGCTCCGAGTGTGGAGGAGAATTACAAATCCTCATTTCCACCTTTTATCTCTGGAGCGCCGTGCATCAGAAATACGCCGCATGGAGAGAATGTAAAGCCGCTAGGAGCCGTGCCTCTGCCTGACCCCGGTAAAATACTGTACAGTGAAGGAAATATTCTCCAAAGATTTCGTTTCTCTGTCTTTTTTCCATCTGCAGAGTAGCTAAGAAAAGAGCAGGTGCATCGTGCTCCGGAGCAGGAAATAAAGTATGTCACCAGCACTCCATGGATCTTCGTCCAAAACGCCTTCACTAGGGTATTAAAGAGGCCTTATTCCTCACAAACACCTATTGGAATTTTAAATGGCCATAGCAGCCTTTTATTAATAAAATATAAATAAAACATGTATAAGAAAACATGTACAGCATCAACATTCACAAATTGGGGCCCAAGGTCCTTTTAGGCACTTAACCAAGGAACCATAACTGTATACACATATATATATCCAGTATGTGTGTGTGTGTGTGTATACATATGTGTGTATATATATATATATATATATATATATATATATATAGGCCTCCAGCTGCAAGAACACCTACTCAGAGACAATTCAACATTATTAGCAGGTACGACCACTCACCACTATACTGAACTTTCAAGCTAGTAAAAAACCGAGGGGTAGTAGGGCCGTACCTAAGACAGGCCTTACACCTTTGCCATTTTTTCCCAATGTCTGCCTTCAAGGACCTTGAAAACCCTCTTGCTGCTACAACAACACCCCCCAGTACCCACGGCACTAAACCCAGCAAAAAACAACTGAAAACCAAGATAGGGAGGGTGTGTGGGATGTTCGCCTGCCCGCCGATGATCTCGGACTGCTTGAACTTAGGTCCCACCCACAACTCCACCTCTAAAGCCCCTCCTGTTTGCTGCAGCCCCCTACCCTGTCATGTAGTCCCTACGACCATTGCCTTGCTTTTCTGCTCCAGGTCTATCTTTATTGACTTTCTAGCATTTTGGTCAACCTTGGACATCAATAAAGGCATTTTGGATGAAGATCCTTGGTGTGCTGGTGACATACTTTATTTCTTAGATTCAAGCTGTGCCATTCGCAGCCACCTTAGCACCCATTTCACAAGGGGTACACTGATTAGGAGTGCAGTGGAATTTCTACCGCAGCAAGAAAGACACATGGTGGGTGGGGTGATGTCTATAATGGGACCCTAGAACATTTTAATAACAAATATATGTGTTTAGTAAAGATCAGTGGTGTGGCTATTTCTGGACCAGTGTGTCTGTGGAGTGTGGATGGCTCCTGGCCTGGTGAGTCCCAGCAGTGGAGCTCAGGTCTGGATGGAGCAGTGAAAGCTTCTCCTTTTTTTCTCTGTGAAACCACTAAGGCCTCGTTCACACCGAAAGTGTGTGCGTTCCAGAGCAGTAGCTGCTGGAACTCACCGCAATCGTTAAGAAACAAAGGGGTCTATTAGACCACCTAATGTCACATTTGCCCCTCAAAGAAGCTGATCAAGTAGGTATCATGCTTGATCAGCTTCTTCCCTTGCTTTTGTTGGTGGAGAATGACAGCTGAGAAGCCAGAAGGCAAATTCATTCAGCAGGGAGGAGATGCTGGTTCGCTGGTCTCTCTCCCCACAACCTGCTGACACCTGTGATGCTGGTCCTGGACCCACAGGAGGGGTAGTGGAGCCCGGGCAGCAAGACAGGGGTGTCAGGTGTGGGGGGCACCGATTACCAGCGCTGTAAGGCATGAACGGGTCCGTGACTCTCTGCACTCACAAGTATGTCTTTAGTCTTTTAAGTTTAATGACCATGGGGGCCATTCAACCTGAAAACTGAAACCTTCCACAGGCAGAATTAAATTACTGTGATGGACGGTATAATTGCCTTACTTAAAATGAAAATACATATTTGAAGAATTGTTAATACTTAGAACTGAACCCAATAAATTAATAAAAAATACTTTACAAAGTATAAATTTCCTTTATGTGAACTTCAGTAGTTTGAGTATTACTGACCTCATCATTTTTTTTTCTTTTCTTTGACAGATAACAAATATGCCCCGGCAGTCACTCTGAACGGCTTCATCTTCATTCTGGGAGGAGCTTATGCCAGAGCGACAACCATCTACGACCCCGAAAAAGGCAACATAAAAGCCGGACCCAACATGAATCACTCCAGACAGTTCTGCAGGTAAGACAACAATACAAACAAACACATACAGCAGAGACAAGGTCATAGGAATAAGGGACACCTTAGCTGTGACAGCCAAGTAGGTGAATGGATGTCACCATCAACCATTTAAGCGCAGTACATACGGAATTATTCACCTCGTGCTGCGCAGTTTTTACAAGCAGTGGATCAGATCTCACTTATTGGCATGCATTACTATGATAATTAACACTTATAAGCAAAGAAAATTGTTGCAGTGATTGCAGATTTTTACCTGCACACTAAAAAACGTATGTGCAGCGATTTTGCGAAACGGCTTTCAGGATAAAAATAATTTTGGTCGGCATTTGAACCTTGCTTAGCCTTGGTTGCTTGAACTGACAATATATGTATGCAATATGTACCTGTGCATGGGTAACTCTGTGCCAGGGGTAGGCAAGTGCCGGTCTTCCAGCTGTGGTCCCATCACGCATCTTGTTTGTGGCTGTCAAACAAGATGCGGTTTGTGGCTGTCATTATCTTGCAATGCCTCTTGGGGCTTGTAGTTGCACCATCTGGACGGCCGGAGTTTCCCTAACTAGCTCTATGCTTTTAAATGATCTATTGTGTACAGTATGAAATGTGCAAATGTTTTGTGTTCTAGATATACTCTGCTGTGTCTATGGAATGATGTGTTTTTGCACTCCTAAAGTAGTTAAATCACAATCCAATATCTCTCAGTGGGCATGTACTGCAGGTCTCAGTGTATTTCCACTGCTGCAGTCAAATTTGAGGAAAAAACCCCTCTGCTATGTGTTCCTATTCACACAGTATACCTAAAAAGATGTTTTTTAACTCTGCAGAGTTTTCTGTATTTTACTGAATTACATCACTAGCTCATTGAATACTTTTCACCTTTTTGTTGCCTGAGGTTGCTCTTTAAAAGTTTTTTTTATGGCTTTGTGATACTTGGTATCTTGGCTTTGTGGTTTCTCCACCATCCATGCCTTCAGCATACACCGATCAGCCATAGAATTATGACCACCCGCCTAATATTAAGTAGGTCCCCCTTTTGCCGCCAAAACAGCCCTGACCCGTCGAGGCATGGACTCCACTAGACCTCTGAAGGTATGCAAGCCAACAGTAGCAGATGCTTTAAGGCCTCGTTCACACCAGACACAGTGCGTTCCGGCCAGAACTCACTGCATTGCATTGCGCCAGCTCACTATGTTGTGGGGCAGGAGGGGGCGTGGCGGTCCATTGAAGTGAATGGCACCGTAGCCACGCAATGCGATTGGCCACATGGTAACGCAAGGCACATTATGCCTGCGGTCCGGTCCGAGCAAAATAGTGCTTGCAGCATTTTGTTCAGACCGGACCACAGGCATACTGTGCCTTGGGTACCTGTGTGGCCGATCGCATTGCGGCCGGAGGGCGTGGCTACGGTGCCATTCACTTCACTGGACCGCCACACCCCCTCTTGTCCCACAACATATTGAGCCGGCTGCAATGCAATGCAGTGCATTCTGGCCAGAATTGGGCCGAAGCACACTGTCAGGTTTGAACGAGGCCCTAGTCCTGTAAGTTGTGAGGTGAGGCCTCCATGGCTTGGACTTGTTTTTCTAGAACATCCCAAAGATACTCCACTGGACTGAGATCTGGATCCATGGATCACTTTGGGTTGGTCCTGACCACTGCAGACCGGGAACATCCAACTAGAGCTGCAGTTTTGGAGTTGCTCTGACCCTGTCGTCTAGACATCACAATTTGGTCCTGGTCAAAGTCGCTCAGATCCTTACACTTGTCCATTTTTTCTGCTTCCAACACAACTTCCAGGTGTCATTGTAATATATCCCTCCCCACTTCCAGGTGTCATTGTAATATATCCCTCCCCACTTCCAGGTGTCATTGTAATATATCCCCCACTTCCAGGTGCCATTGTAATCAGATAATTAATGTTATTCACTTCACCTCTCAGTGGTCAGAATTTTATGACTGATCAGTGTACACGGGTAAAAAAAACATGCCCACCCCACAATCATCTCTGTCCACAGATTAGCCTGTCAGTTTAGCAAATATGTCTTTTTTTTCCTGGTGGCCATCATGAGCCGAGGACTTGGGAACATGTAAGATCATGAGAGGAAAGATGGTTGGAAGATACGGTTCTTTCCCCTGTTCCCCTCCTTTTTCCTTTAATATACAAGCAATATGGATTGAAATGTGGATGAATATTTTCCTCCCTTGAGGATCTTCTTGGGTCCTCCAACGAGGCCTAATGGCTGCACACTTAGGTCTACTGATTGTATTTCATTGAGAAATCTGATGAGAATATTCATATGTTCTCCACGTAGAGGAAGTGAACGCTTTGGACATTTCTCTCTCTCCCCCCCCCCATCAATACTGAGACATGTGGAATGTGATATCATGACGACATTGAGGAAGGGAAGTCCATCCTATGGGCGTCTTCAGTGAGTAAGTTTACAAACTTCTAGATGGATCTGGTTATTAGGAGCGGGAGAGAAGTTATGGACATTTCATATATAAATACAGATTTAGTTCTAGTTTTTGACCCTAGATCCCCTTTAGTAAATATGTCTGTTTGTACTTTGTTATACACATCTGGAATCTGATTGGTTGCCTTGGACAATGCAGACACTTTCCCTTCCTCCAGTTTACATCCATGTTGCCCATGGCCTGGTCCTGGAAGTGGAGCCAGTGATGGCCATCAATCTGAGTGAGTGGCAGGCTCCATCTGCTGCTGTGCCGCTCCGTGCCAGCTGCCTGCGTATTCACAGATGTTCTCCTGATAATTTACAAGACAGTGTTTTCTCTAAATATTTATCAAATCATCCTCGTCTTCTAAATGTACAGGCAGCCGCATGAGTGGGAGAAGTCTGGTCTCCTGCAGGGATTAGCTTTCATATATGAACGTGTGATGCCGAGGAGAGTTTGTCGGGGAGTGTCATGCCTTTACCGGCGATGGGTGTTTGTATGTGACAGGTGCCCCCCCCATTGTAAGTGATAATGTATACTGTGCGTTGCTGCTGATACATCTTCCCGACATGCATCGCTCTGATGCCAGATTGATGGCCCAATTTATCTTCCACATGAAACACTCGTTAGCATCTATTGGGGTCCCAAAAGCCCAGAACTGCATAGAATTCTCCAACTTGTGGAGTGCAGGAACAACAGAGGAACAGAAGTCAGAGAGCAGCTGAGCAAATATCAGATCAACAGAGCCATAGAGGCCACATCACACCAAGTCCACCGAGCTTCCCCAACGTTACACCCCTCAGCTGTCATCCACATCTATCTATCTATCTATCTATCTATCTATCTATCTATCTATCTATCTATCTATCTATCTATCTCATACCTATGTATCTGTCTGTCTGTCTACGGTATCTCATTCTTTCTTTCTCTCTCTTTCCTTCTCTTTCTCTCTCTTTCTATTTCTCTCTCTCGCTCTCTCTCTCGCTCTCTCTCTCCCGCTATTTCTTTCCTTCTTTCTCTTTCTCTCTCTTTATTTTTATTTTTCTCTCTCTCACTCTCTCTTTCTTTTTCTTTCTTCTTCACTGTCTGTCTATATATCTATCTAGAAACTTTGCAACCAATTGACATTAATATCTATCTATCTATCTATCTATCTATCTATCTATCTATCTATCTATCTATCTATCTATCTATCTATCTATCTATCTATCTATCTATCTATCCATCTATCTATCTAAAATCTCGGCTTATACTCGAGTATATACGGTAAACAATAAATGAATTCCTACATAGCACTGTATACAGTTATACTGAAAATGTAATGTTGGGTCTCATACACATTCACATGTTCCAGCACTTCTCCACTCGCAGTGACGCATTGTCTAATATACTCACAGCTCATGTATCCATTTCTTGTATCTCATGTCATCTCTCTATCCTGTGTTTTCAGCGCCGTGGTCGTGGAGGGAAAGATCTACGCCACAGGCGGTATAGTGAGCAGCGAGGGTCCCGCGCTGGGAAACATGGAGTACTACGACCCCAAATCCAACACTTGGACTTTATTACCCAACATGCCTTGCCCTCTCTTCCGCCACGGATGTGTAGTCATCAAGAAATACATTCAAAGTGGTTGACAAAACAAAAGAAATAACAGATGAACTGTCTCCTTAGCCGAAGATGTTTTATTATTATGCGTACAATTTATTTTATTTTTTTTGGGTTGTAACCGTTTCCATGGCGTTGGCGCCGGATGTGAAGCCGATGATCAATTTCTTTTTCTGCTTCAGCAGCATTTTTTTTGTTTGTTTGTTATTTACGAAATACGAAAAAAGGACATTTTTTTTTGTTTGTTTTTTTTTTTCCTTTTCTCTGCAGGTTTTGAATACACTCTACATTGAATGTAGAAGATCACCTGTTCCTCTGGGTGATGCTGGAGCATTGGGCTCCATACTATGTACTATAGTGTAAGTTACTAAGGCGAACATGTCACTAGGTTGGCGCAGTGGGACACGGTGACACCTTAGGTGCAATAGATTCCCATATTTTTTACATGGGTTCAGTGAAAATAGAGTTTCGGGGGAGGGCGGATGTGTATTTTACTAATAGACGTGAGGATGGGATTTTGGTTTTCTTTGTTTTTGTTTTTTTTAGAAGACTGTTTGGTATAGTACTGCTAAGCATCTCATTCTAGGGAAAAAGAGGGTGTTTTTGTTTGTTTATTGGATCGGCTTTTGCTTATTCTTACATGGCATTAGCCAGACAGAAACAGTTTGTCAGAACATGCAAACTTATTGGGGTATCCAAACTTCGGCCCTCCAGCTGTTGTGGAACTACAAGTCCCATGAGGCATTGAAAGACTCAGACAGCCGCAGGTATGATGTGGTTTGTACCAAGTAACATGATTGTGCATTTCGGCCTATTTAGGGGCAGAGAGTATCCACAGCAACCAGTCAGATCCCATCTTGTGCGTTCACAGACATCTCAACTCTCCCAGAAGCTCCGGGAGTCTCCCACTATTAGATAGCGGCTCCCGGCCGCCCGGGAGAGAAACATTTTCTCCATAAAGTGCTTCTTTCAGGTTGGGATCCCTGGCGTTCAGCAACATGAATTCCGATTTGGTTATTTTAGGTTATCGTGCTTTGCTCCTTGCACAGTTTGCTGAATCAGCTTGATTGGCTGTATCCATAACATACAAAGTCTGAACATGACCGCTTTACCATATATACATACATATAGCCTCACTACAGCTGGAGGGCCGAAGTTTGGTTACCCCGGTTTTATAATGTGATTGTGCATTTGGGCCTATTCAGTAAAGGGGCAGAGAGAACAGTATCCATAGCAACCAGGCAGATTTAATCAACAGTATTCATAGCAACCAGCTAGATTCCATCTAGTCCTTTCAGTAACTTGAGGTCCGATTGGATACTTTAGGTTGTCGTGCTTTGCTCCAGTTTGCTGAATAAGTGTGATAGGCTGTATCCAATAGCAACCAGACATTTCCATAAAGAGTGAACATTGCAAGTTTACCGCCATTTTAGAGGTCCTATAAAGTGCACGCACCGAGATTGGTTGCTAAGGGTACTTCTTCCAGCTACATTTGGCTCATACTAGACATACAAGTATTGCTAGGTGGGCCGACGAGGTGAGGTAAGCTCCCAGCATGCTTTGAAGAGCCAAAAAAGAATGCAAAGGACTCTGGGAAATGTAGCCTGACAACAGACGGTCACAAAATTGAGTGACGTTCATGACAGACATTCTGAGATCTGCCCGGAACAATACACCAATCAAGTCATGGGCGGAAACGCAATTATAGAGAGAAAACAGTTTCTCCTGCTTTCTACAAGCAGATGATTTATATGTAGCATGGATACAATCATTTTACCTTATTTTACGGAAATGTTCCTGCTAGATAAAGCCACCGGATCAGTAACTTCTGTAAGAGGGTAAAATGGAAGTTTATGGAGATATTTAACCTCTTGCCGTCCGCCCGTAGTAAAAAAACGGACATCTCCATTTAAAAAAAAAAACTATCCCCCGCACTGCAAGGATTAACTGCTGGTTTTGGTCTATGGCAGGGGTGGTCAAACTCCGGCCCTTCATCTGTGGTGAAACACCCTGCATCACCCTCTGGGAGTCTTTGGTTGTGGCTGTCAGAGTCTTGCAATGCCTCATGGGATTTGTAGTTGCACCAAAGTTGGAGGGCCAGAGTTTGCCCGCTCCTGGTCTTGGGGACCTTTGTAAAGGACCTTTACTTACCTGATCCCCACTCCCACTGGCTCCAAGAGTGGCGCCCATTTCCTCTTCCATTCTTTGGGATGGAAAAGAGCGGTTGATGTCACCATGTCTAATGCAGGACCCATAGCTTTGCATTATACGAGAGGATGCCAAGAGACAGTTGACAAGCCGGAGCATAAGGTGAGCACCAACCACTGGAGGAGGGGGGATCAGGTAGGTAAAAGTCTTTTACACCATACCCCTAGATGTAATCATTCAAGTGCAAGCCATATAAGTCATCAGAGTCTAGGTTATAGCACATTAGCTCCATGTTCAGTTGGCTGCTATGACAAACTGTTTCCCTTTCTGAAAAGAAGATGTATTCAAACTTTTTTAGATATGATCGATGGTTAGACCACATCATTTCCAGTGAAATATTAGTCTTCCTGCAGATCTTAATGAAATCGAATTTTCTGCTACTGTGCTAGTAAAAGATCATTATGAGACCACTTATATATTACATTTGTAATTACATATAGTTCGTATGAAAGCGGGATTTTGGAGGATGTAACAGCTAGCTATTTTAATCAAGTACTATAAAAAAAATCTGCCACCAGCTCATCAAACTGAACAATTATTTTCTATAGATCCACTATAATCAAAGTTTATAAGGTGGAGAACAATATCTCATGCTACTGTCTGTATCGTTGTAAAACTCTAGCTGCCGTCTACAGAGGCCAGTCGCAGTAGGCCAGTTCATGTCTGATGATAAAATACTGCATCTGTTAATGAGTGTGGTCATTGTACAACCGCTCCTGGGTTGTCCTCTGCACAACCCAACCGTTTGAATGGCCTCCGGATCTGGTAGGTGTAGCCGTACTTGTGTCAGCTACAAATCTGGTCCAGCTAAATATGGGACCTGCCAATATAGGTCATTGGCTATCAAGCAAGACTCAACAATAGATACTGTTTTCCCTTGAGGAGCTGGTGCACATGGGCACCAGATGCCAACGTACATCTGCCGCTCATGTACAAAGACACTTGTTGGGATGTATGAAGTGAACAATTTGCACAAATTGGGTAGACCTTGTTTCTTATCGGTGAATAGTGAAATGTCCTGATTATTATCTCACTCCAGATTGGTGCCACTTGGGTGAAACTCTTATTGCCTTATGTAAGAACTTACAGTGAATGACTCGTGCAGAAGTGCCCCAGCTATAATAGAAGAGACCACAGACTCCGTATAGAGTCTTCATAGACCCTATTAGCACTAATAATGCCTTTTATATGATGGATATAAAAGCTGTGGGCAAAGTCATCCTTGATTCTACAGTTTCAAACACTGGGAACCTGCACAGCCAGACACTAATGCGTCACGGTAGGAGGCAGCTTTTCCTTTCTTAACGTGCATCTGACACCAAAACTTTTTTTTTAAATTTTCAGATGGAGTGGAGAGGGATTAGAACATCTGTCAGTTTTGTATTGCTGTCTGTGTCCCCGTTAGGGAGATTCACTCTCTCTAAGCATTGAGGCACTCGGTGTTGGGGCAGCAGAGTAAAGTGAGGGTAGGGGGTGGTGCAGGCAATCAGAGCAGCGGGGCACTCTGGCTGGCTTCTCTCACAGCTCTTGCCAACCAACCTGACACTAACCAGAGCATCTCAGGTAGGTAGGAGCTAGGTCAGGAGATGTGTATGGCCCTTCCCAATCTTCCCACCAGGCTCTCAGCAACCTGGGATGCTGTGACCGGAAAGGAAAGTGGCAGGCCCACTGCAAACATTGTCCATGCTGCTCTGTGCCCGTCGCCCCCCCCACGTTACACAAAGAGATGCCGTCTGTGTCAACAGCCTCAGGCTGCTTAATTAAAGGGACCACCCTGTTGATAGAGATTCTACGCCTTCTTCACAGTTTCCAAAAATAAAACAAAGTTGTGTCTGGAGCTCCACGTTAATATGTGTGATTCACTATTTGCACATAAGACTCAGGACTGACACTCTCCACCATAGTTCAAAAACTGAATTGCATACCTCTACCCATGTGTATTAATCCATTTTTGGCCTTTGCGAACAATGAACAGCCTTATACTGCAGCTTGCCGCAGGATCATTTTTGTTTCTGTTGGGTCACTGCTGCCGTGGAGAAGTTGGCATCCTGGCACCACTGACTTCAAGTGTCCAGCGAGCACCCGGGAACCCACCACTGCTGCAAGCGGTCCAGCCTGACTACATCCAACATCTGTATTGTAGAGGGCTGTATGGGGTGGGAGGAGCCGAGAACAATAATAGACGAATCACAAACCACAATGCTTTTTTTTTATTATTATAAAATGAACCAGCAATACCGCTGCATGAGGGCATTTTATTCATTCATGAAAGTTCTGCAAAGTTGAAATGTTCTTTTCTGTGCCTATGTTATCTTTTCAGTTAACTCTTAAAAGTGGACCTAGACATTGTCTAAACTAGCACCAGCACCTGTAGGAATCTCCAAGTCTGTTTCTGGGTCCCTGTTTAGCCACTTTGATTGTTAGCCTTGACGTGTGCAAAAGTCAGAATTAAGCTCCACCTCCTCCTGGGTCTAAATATGCCATTAAATAGTCCAGTGCCTGAACCATGGAGGGCAGCATTAGATTTGGCATTGGACTATTGAATAGCAGGAGCTGGTTTAGAATTAGGAGGGGCCTGTATACAATCTAGGTCTGGGATCCAATAGATCCAACAGGGATAAGAAGAAACAAAAATTACGCCGGTACGTAGGTGGCTTTGTTAGCTTAGACATTATTTATTACACGACAGGTTCACCTTGAGGCCCGCTATACAGTCAGCCTATAATATGTTATATAGGCCCCCCAAGCCGGAAACATGTACAGATATATACTGACAGCTGCAACATTTATTGCATTGCCAGTGATCACTTCTATTGGACGATGATCACCTGACAA